GACGGCCAACCTTGGTAAGTGCCCCAGCCGCCCGATACTATCAGGACCCTGCTCCTTCTGCTCCGGGAACCGCTTGAGAGTCACCACAGGGAGCCCTGGCCCTGCGGCTCAGTTGGTTGAGCGCCATCCCCTGCACCAAAAGGCTGCTGGTTCGATCCTGGTCCGGCCACATCTCCAGGCTGCAGGTTCGATCCCTGGCTGGGCACCCGGGTGTGCAGGAGGCAGTGATCAAAGTTTCTCCCTTGTCAATGTCTCCTTCTCCCTTCCTCTCTCTCTAAAACCAATAAAAACATTTTTTTAAAAAAAGTAAATCAGCCCTGGCGAGTTTGACTCCAAAGGGTCTCAGGTTCAATTCCCGGTCAAGGGCACGTACCTGGGTTGCAGGTTCGATCCAGGGCCCTGGTCGGGGCTGTGCAGGAGGCAACCAACGGATGTGTCTCTCACATCGATGTCTCTCCCCCTCTCTCTCTCTATCCCCCTCTCCCTCCCTCTCTATCTAAAAATCAATGGAAAAGATCCTTGGGTGAGGATTAACAAAAAACTAAATAGATAAAAAAGAAAGTCATCACAATGAGGGATCATTAAGGAAACCCCCCACCTCAGGGGCACACGGAGGGCACCATGGCAGAATCTGACGGTCCCCACTGGATGGCTGGGGAGCTGGCCCCCTCCTCAGTCTCCGAGGGCTGACATCCGGGGACACAGGTGCCCTCCCGCTGGCGACACCAAGGCTACGAGTGAGCGAGCAAAGGAACCTCCCCGGGGCTGCGTGCACATCAGTGATTACCACGGTCCCTCCCACCCGCCTCCACCACCCTCCGGTGGCACCTCTAGTCCTGAGCACCCAGCCTGAGGTCCACAAACTGACACCGAGCTTGGAGATGCTCTGGAAGCCAAGGCAGGCGACCCGGTCCTGTCCCACGGGCCCTGTGTCCCCTAAGGCCACAGCCGGACACTGTGGAGCCCGGAGGTGCTGCTGTCTCTGGGCAAGGACATGGGTCAGCGATGGAGGGGGACTGTGCCCAGCCAGGCCTGGGGCCTCGAATGAAGCCACGCTGCCCTGAACGGGGAGCCACAGGGACCAGGCAGACTGCACAGCGGATCAAAACATCTCCCCAGAATCCGGCCAGTTTCCAACGGGTCCCAAGGAAAGAACCAGTGAGCACGGCCGGGGCCGCCGGGGCAGAGAAGTGACCGGCGTGACGAACCGCTCCGGGCGCCAGCGCTGCACAGAAGCAGACCTCACTCCCGTGAGACAGGAGGTTCCGCACCTCGGGGCTGTGTGCAGGCCGGGCGGCTCTGAGCGCGGGACAAGGGAAGTGCCCCGGCTGTCACGGCGTGGATTCAGGACACCCACACGCCGCCCAGGGAACACTCTTTTGCCACAAGAAGAGTCGGGTTTCGGCTTTGTACCCGCGACTCTTGTCTGGGGCTCCGCCGCATTCCCAGCAGCCCTTGCCGCCATGTCCCATCACGGGACCCCCTGAAAGGCGGCTGTTTCCCGAGGTTCCGTCTGTAGGCGGCGTGTGGAGGGCGCACCCGTGACCCAGACAGAGCCGCTACGAGCCAGGTGCCCACAGCGCCCCGCACAGCCCGCGGCCCCGAGAACGGCCAGCACCTCGCTCCCCTCCAGCAGCAACTCCGCGTCCAGAAGTTCTCGCGGGGTGGAAGGGTCTCCTCCCCCGGGGAGACGGGGAGGCTCCGGGTGACATCACACTCGGACAAGGCGTCCAAGGCCGCACAGCTCCTTCCAAAGCTCTTATCGCGGAAACCGCAGGAAGCGCGGGCCGTCCTTGGAGGGGAACACAGCGTTCGCGCCCAGCCCCCGAGGGAGTCAGAGACCAGCGCTCCCTGGGCGGCGGGCAGGGCCGGGGTGCTCGGTGTCCCGCCCAGACCCTGGACAGCTCCAGCCCCACAGCCCACGGCCAGCCCACGTCTGTCCCGGGGACGTGGAGGAAAACATATTAGTGTGCCCACGAACCCTCGAACACACACAGACTCACTCGGCTGGTGAGCGTGTCCCTAGCAGGGGACAGAACATGAGAGGGCGTCATCTCTACACATGACCTGCATCTGGGACACCCCTGATTTAAAGGGGTGCAGAGGGGTAAACAGCAAAACAGACCACGTCTGCTGTACCCACGCACCTGGCCCAGCTCTTCACCACCATCACCTGGTCCAAACCGCGCGGCCTCACAGGCAGCAAGAGCAAAGGTCTCGGAGGGGGCCAGGGGGCAGCCAGGCTGCTGTGGGAATGGGGGTGCACAAGCTGCCCCCACTTTTAGAAAGTGAGCTCCGGCGCTACTGACACTTCTCCATGCAGCCCCAACGCAGAGCCCTTCATGACAGCAGTGGTCTCACCCTCCACGGAAGGGGGCTGGACCCCAAGTGCTGGTCCCCCCTCCACCAGGTCACGGCGCTGCGGGGGTACCCCATGGCCTGGGACTAAGCCCCGCCCTCCTGCAGAATGGCCTGCACCCCAGCTTCTCCTGCAGCCAGGCCCAAGGCTCCCGCCCACCGGGCTGGGCGGGCCCCTTCCCTGCCTCGGGGTTCGCACCTGGACAGCAGAACTGAAACACCTCCTAGGCCCACCTTCTTCCTCAGCCCGGTCAGCACACCCTCCGTCCTCTGCTGGCTCTGCTCTGGGATGCCCGGGCCCCCAGGATTTCCTCCCTCTGCCGGCTGACGCTGGCCCGGCCCAGGGAGCCTCCGGGAGGGAGGGCGGACGGGAGGAGGCCCCGCCCACGCCCTCACACCTGAGCACTCTGCCGGCCTCCAGGACGTGGGTCGGACCCGGTCCCCTGCGTCCAGGAGAGGAAGGGCCGCTCGCTGCATTCCTGGCTGGAGACTGGAACACATTCCCACGGGGTAAAAATTAACCTGCGGCCACCAGGTCGGCCGCGGGCGGCCCTCTGGGCCACCCTGCTAACAGGCTCTGCGTCCTCCCAGGCACAGGCCTTCCTGCCGTCACCGCGTCACCGCGGCCAAACCAGAGCAGGCCGGTCTGTGCCCCGGAGCAGCAGCGGGGACCCCAGGACCTGCTCGCGCAGATCACAGGTTCCGGCAGGGCCCCCAGACGGAACCATTTACCCAGATTAAAACCAGTCTCCAGAAAAAATCAGGCCCTTTTAATTGAAAATAAAACCAAGCAACCCCGAAGGCTTTTTTTTTTTTAAATGAAAGACATTCTTCCTGCTTTCTCATTGCATTAATCACCGAGTTTACACAATCTGTCAAAACAGCCGGGAACGCCGGCCCCTTCCCTTCCTGCGGGCCTGGTCCCGGCCCCACAGGCTCCGCCCCGGCCCCAGGCTCAGGGCCGCGGGATCCCGTGACCATGTGTTTCTCAACTGCAATTGGACCGCGTGTATCAAGGGGCTTCAAAAAGTCTGCGTTCACTTCTTGGCGTAAACCCAAAACAGTGCAAAGCAGGGACTCTAACAGCAGCCGAGCTGGGGACGCGGCCCGGTGTCCATGCACATGTGAACGGACAGCGGACGAGCTCGCACACGGCCCAGAGAGGAAGGGACTTCACCTGCTGCACCAGGGCTGGGCCTCAAGGGCATTAAGAGTGAAACAGCCCTGGCCGGTGTGCTCAGCGGTTAGAGCGTCAGCCCGTGTACCAGAGACCCGGGTTCGGTTCCCGCTAAGGGCATGTACCTCGGTTGCAGTGTGTCCCCGGCCCTGGTTGGGGTCGTGCAGGAGGCAGCCAGTCCATGTGTCTCTCTCACATCGATGTCTCTCTCTCTCTCTTTCTCTCTCTCTCCCCTCTCCTTCCCACTCTGTCTGAAGATAAATGTAAAAATATCCTCAGATGAGGATTAAAAAAAAAGAGAGAGAGAGTAGAATAAGCCAGTCACAGAGGGGTGAACACTATGGATCCGCTTAGGCGAGGTCCCTAAAATAGCCAATGTCATCAAGACAGAAAGTGCACAGTGGTGTCCAGGCCGGGGGAGGGGTGGGCACAGTGTTGGGGGGCAGAGGCTCAGCTCTGCGGACGGACATGGTGACACCACACAGCCGTGTGGACGAGTTCAGTGCCCCGAGCTGTGGACTTAAAAATGATTAAAATAGCGTTGGCCGGTTTGGCTCAGTGGTTGGAGCATCGGCCTGCGGACCAGAGTCCCAGGTTTGGTTCCCACTAGGGGCATGTACTTAAAAAAAAAAAAAAAAAGATTAAAATAGTTAATTTTATGTCACATGTATTTTGCCACAATCAAAAAAAGCGTTTGTTCTTTGACCTTGAATGGCCTTCGAAGTCCCTCCAAGGACACGCCTGGCCCGCACTCAGCCCACGATGTCCGTCAGGGCTGCACACGGGCTACGGTGCCCGCAGGGCCGATGGTCACCGTGCTCGGCCGCCAGTGCCAGACGGGGCACAGTGCTGTGGTCACAGGGTGAGGGCAGCTGTCCACGGAGGGAGATGCAGGACACAGAGCAGCACCTCGGATGAGCTCGGTGGACCCCGGAGCACAGAGCGTGCCCAGCACGCCCCCCTCTGCGAGATGACAGTCAGCGCCTCAGCCGACAAGTCCCTTTGTGGGAAAGAGTCCAAGGACGACGCAGAAGCAAAGACTCATCCATTATCACAGACTCCTGCTCCTGAGCACCACAAGTGACATAAACTCCAAGCCCCGCCCAGTACGGACCTGCACCCCCGCCTGGGACCTGTCCTGGGCCGTCGGCTGGCTGTCCCCAGGACCTCCTCCCACTGTCTCACAGGCTGCCGTGGGGGGTCAGACAGATGGGGACGTGAGGTTCCAGCGGGAGCCCCTGGCTGTGGGGACTCAGCACAGCCCGTGGCCCTGGACCCACAGGCTGGAGGAAGAGCCCAGGCAGACAGAACACACCCGGGGAGCTGGTGTGAGCCCCAGAGCGGCAATGTCCCCGAGCTGTGGGAGGGAACCTCGGGGCAGTCATGGCCACAAAGGACAGCTTCACCCCAGACTTGTGGCCCCGGGGCCCAGCTCTCCCCTCCCAGCCCGCTGCCTGCACTGTACCTTTGATCCGTGTCCAGGACACCCGTGGTGAGGGGTGAGGGCTCGAGAGACTCGGCTGGTGATGGATTACAGCGGAGAACAGCGCCAGGCCCAGTGAATGGGGCCCTTTTGTTCCCCGCTCTGGGAGGACCGTGCGCAGAACGCAGGCGCCCCAGCTAACGGCCCAGCCTGGCCCCAGGGCAGCGCGCGGCCAGATGTGGGGCTGCTCCTGTCCCCGGCGGGCCGTGGGGAGCGGCACCCAGGCCTCTGCTCCCCTGGGAGGAGCCCGGCCGGTCACTTCTCAGGAGTCCCCGCGCTTCCTCCCGCGGCTGGAGGACTCCACGCACGTCGTCCACGCCTCTCGGGCCGGGTCCCACTGCTCATGGCCTGGTTCACAGAACCCACACTCGAGGGGCACCGAGACTCCGGGAGGAGGTGCGGCCCTAGCGCCTGCCTGGAGGGTCCCCTGGTGCCCTGTGCAGCCTGGCCGGGCAGGACGGCGACCGTGTGCGACTGGAGTGGACTCCTGGACATCGGATAGACCTCAAAACAGAGCCAGGGGCAGGACGCGTGGGTGCTGCCACCTCTCCAAGGAAGAGGAAGAGGAAGGCTGCGGGGGCACGCGCCCGAATTAGAGCCGAGGAGGAAGGAAGGGGAGCCCACAGAGCGGCTCTAGGAAGCAGCTGCGGCAGGAACCCTGGCCAGCGGCGGCCGCCGGGGCTCCCGGAGACTTCGCCCGTGTGCCCAGAGAGGGCTGGGGTGGGGGGACCTGACAGACCCCCGGTCCTCGAAGGAGTCCCAGCACTGCAAAGGGACTTGGGTTCCAATGGGGAGCCCAACACCCAGCACCACACCCCACATCCTCTCTCAGGCTCGGGCCCTTAGGGATTTAGGGGGCACTCACCTTCTGCGGACAATCACCAGGCCCAGGCTCTGTCCCCAGACACACCTGGGGTCCACCCTGACCTGGACCCACCAGCCCTGTGGGTCCAGTTTTTTAAACTCAGTGAGCCTCGGTACCCAATTCAGGAAAAGGACAAAGCCCCATCCTGCAAGGTTGGGGGACAATCAGATCATGCCGTCTGTGTAAGTCACCCCACCGTCAAAATAAGGCACTTTTCGTGCAAGGTTGCTGGGCTGGGAGCAGAAGAGGTCACCCCAGGGACACATTAGCAAAGGTGTATGTCCCGGAGGTGGCAGCTCTGAGCTCAGCAAGGCCCTGGCTCAGCGAGGGCAGCTCCACCAGATGTTTCCATCATCACGGACAAGGGCACCTCACACACACTCCTCATTCTTCAGCCCATTTGGGAGAAAATATGTTAGTTCCCAATCACTACTTTTTTTTTTTTTAATTAGCATAACTTTTTAAATGTCTAGGGGTCACCATGGTGACCGTCAACCCCTCGGTGCCATGGGTAGCTCCTAACAGTGGCCCAGGCGGCAGACACCAGCCTTCCCCGGCCTCCTTCCTTCTGTCCAGCAAGGGCAGCCCCCAGTGGGGGTGTGGACACCAGGCAGGGGACCCGGGACGGGGCTGTGTCTCTCAGACCGCACAGGGGCAAGACCACAAGCTGTCCCTGGGGCAAGGCGCTGGCCGAACACGCTCCCCATACGCGGAGTGCAGTCCTGCAAATTCTAGTTCTGTGGTTGGACAGGACGCGGACAGACAGCCAGCAAACCCCCGCTCCCACCTGAGCGCACCCAGGACAGCAGCCTGTCCTGAGGACTCGCCGCACCAGCGCGCAAAGCACCGTCTGACGAGAGGCGCTGACTCGTCGGCAGGGTTTGGTGGCTGCGGTTTTAAGGTCCTGTCCTTTTAAAACAGTGAGACAGCGTGGGAATAGACCCTTCCTTGCAGTGGGGCCGGCAGTCCCACGTGGGCATCCCTGGGATGAGGGGGCCACACCACACCCCCGTCCTCCCCCACCCCCCTCCTGAGAGGCTCACAGAAGGGACTTCAGCAGCTGGGACAACGCACAGAAACCAGAGGACACTCCAGACAGGTTTAACACCCTGGCTGACAGTGAACCACACACCTACTTAACTAACCAGCTAACCAGAACCCCTTGTTCTGGATCAACAGAGGTGACCGAAAAGGATCCAGGTGGGCCAGGCTGGCTCCAGCTCACCGATGATCCCCTGCCCCACCCTCACCCCGGGGGCTCACCAAGTCCTGCAGGAAAGGTCCTGGGTCCAGGTCAGTGTAGCGGGACTGCCCCCCACCTGGGTCCTGCTGCCCGGAGCAGACCCTTCAGACCCAGACACAAGATGGGGCTGAGAGAGCCTTGCTGCCCAGAACCTTCTCCAGGTTCCCCTGCAGGACAGCCCTGCACGCGCGCGTGCACACACACACACACACGCGCGCACACACACACACACACGACACACACACACACACACACACACGAGTTCATGGGGGCAGGAGGCGGGGAACAAAAGGCTGGCCCACAGCCCTGGTGGTGTGTGCCAGTCTGAGGCTGGAGGGCCGCCGGCAGACACAGGGCCGGAGGGCTGGCCCTGGGCTGCTCCTTCCCGGGTCCCAGCCTGGGAAATGGGCCTGCATCAGCTGCTCAGAGATCTTCCCGGCTTGGCCTCTGCCCTCACCTGTCCACCCTCACCACTCACAAGGCCCGCAGCCCAGGAACAGACTTTGACCCAGTGACCTTTAGCTCCCAGGGTCACATTTGCAAGTGGCTCCATTGGAAACCAGGAGGTGCCAAAGCTACTTTGTAGAAGTCGGTCCATTTACATCCAGGAGCTGCTCGTCAGCCGAGCCTGTAAACACAGATTCCTATGCAGCCCGACAGGGCCCAGCTCAGGACTCCTGTGAGGACAGGAGCCACCTCCGACCTGGCACCACCCTCCCGGGTGCACCACCCACGCCACACGAGACCTCCCGTTCTTTGCCTCAGTTTGCACATCTGCAAAATGGGTCTCAACTTCACTGCCCCCAGCGTTGTTCTTTGGGTGCGACGGGCCCACAGAGCCCTCGGCCGGAGCGAACACAAGCTCCGGTTCCGGCATCACTTTGCGTCTGCGGCCGCGACTCCTTCCAGGGCTCGGCCAAGTTGCCATCACTTTGTCTTTGAGGTCAGGGCTCTGGCCACCTGCCAGTTCCTGCTCGCTCAGCCCAAAGCAGGCGGGACCCTCCCCGCCCAGCAGGCCCCTCCACCCTCCAGCTGCGAGGCCCCTCGCAGAAATGCCTGTCTTAATACTTGTTGATTGATTTGCAAATACAACCTCTCAGGGCCCAAGGAGGGAAGACAAACCCCAAGGACCAGCGAATCTAGTTGAAACGGCAGAAACTACAGCACCTCAAGAACATTCACAGACCAGAGCCTCCAGGAACTACACCCAAATGTCACAAAAAGCTCGCTCTGAAGGGCCATGCAGCACTGATGCGTAACTTCTACATGCACATTTTCAGGGTATTTCGGGAGTCCTCCGAGATCCTGCATTCCTCCTACAAGGAGGGGAAAACGAGGGGAACTCTGCCAGGAGACCCCAGCCTCTGAAGGGCTGGGGCGCCCTCCGGGGTCGGGGGCTTCTCGGGAGGCAGACACCTGTGGAGGTGCTGGGGCGGCCCCACGCCCCAAGGCACTTTTATGCTTCAATCACGTTGGAGAGCGGGTGGGGCGGGGGTCGCCTGATCCCCTGGTCTTGGGAATAGAGGGGGGCTCTCCTCCTTCCCGCCACACAGACTTCCAGGTCACTGCAGGCAAAGGACCCGGCTCGGGCACCAGCCGGGGGACGCACAGAGGCCCGCGCCCCCTCCTCCGCTTGTCAGGCACACGCCACAGGTGGCCGCACCGGCTCCCGCGGCTTCGGAAGGAAAGCGGGGACCTGCCCCCCGCCCTCCACGGGAAGGGGCGGTAAGACACGGGGGACACTGCCGGCCCGGGCGGGCGAGGGTGCCCAGCTCTGCGTCCGTGGCAGGTCCCGGCTCGGCTCTCCGCCCGCAGCCTCGGACCGACCCGGAGAGTGAAGTCCACCCGGACGCGCCGCAGCCCCGGACGCCGTCCCCCGGCCTCCGAGCCCGGCCCGAAGCCCGATCGCAGCCGAGCGAAGTGCCCACGCGCCCCGATCCCCTCCCCGCACCCCGTCCCCGGACCCCGGCCGCGCCCGGTCCCCGCGCACCCGACGCCCCTCCCCGCGCCCCCTTCGCCCTCCCCGCGCCCGGGGCGCAGACGCGGGCGCCGGACCGAAACAAAGGGGGCGGGCGGGCCCCTCGTACCTGGGCGAGCGCGGCGCGGTCCCGCGGGGCGATGGCGCAGCAGGCGGGGCGCCGGCAGCGGAGGGCGCGGGCGGGCCGTCCTCCTGGCTCGCGGCCGCCGCAGGGCCCCCTCGAGGCGGCGAAGGGCAATCGCGCCGCCCGCGCAGGGTTGGCCGGTCACCTGGCCTCGCCGCCCTAACAATGCGGCCTTTCCGGGCGCGCGGCTCCGTGTGCCCCTGGGCCCGGCCTGGCCAGGTGGACCGCGAGCTCAGCCCAGCTCCACGTGTTCGCGCCGCGTCTTGGGGTGGGCGGGCCGAGTCCCGATTCCGACACAACTCCTCTCCTCCCTCCTTCCTTTCCATCCTCCCTTCCTTCCTCCCCCCCAGCCCCCCACATAAGGACCAGCTCTCAGGGAGGGAACCGGCCCTGCCTGCCTGCGGCTCACACTCTCTGGGGTCTTGCACATATGAAGGACACCGCGGGACAGGGGACCCCTCTGAGGTCCAGCCCATGGAGGGAGGGAGGGAGGCTTTGGAGGTCCCCTGGCTCCTTCCAGTGAGCAGGGCTCAGGCAGGCCCAGCCGACAGGAAAGCAGCCCCCAGGCAGAGGGGTGCTGGGGGAGGACAGCCAGGTAGGTGCCAGCATCCCCAAGATCCAGGGCCCCCCACTCATCTCAACCTCAATTTCCCCACTACTCTCCAAGCTGCTCCTGAGAGATGCACGCCCCTCTGCAGAGTGAAACTGCTCTTCCTCCTGCACCAACACCCACGGACGCCGGAAACCCAAGGACACCCCAGGACACAAGGACACCCCTAGGACACCCCAGGACACAAGGACACCCCAGGACACCC